CTTCAAATAAATCAGTACCAAGAAAGCCACTTGTGTTGTCCGTGCTTTGAGGGAATTACAATTACCATAACCCACAGTTCTCCTACCATCATGTACTGTAATCCAAAAAACGGTAATATACTGTTAGATAAATTACGGTAGATGTGCTGTAAAATAACCACCAAACACCCACCGTTATTCTACGGTCATATACTGTAATCCAAAATACGGTAATATACTGTTAAAATAAATAACGGTAATTGCACTGTAAAATAACAGCAAAATACTGGCGTCCCTGCTGCCAGTATTTTACTGTTATTTCACAGTGAAATTCTTTACAGTGTACTCAGCAGGAAGACACCATGATCAAAGCATGACCTGAACAGCTCCATATGTCAATTTTAACTCAGGGTCATAGTGCCACCCACTGATTTGCCATGAAACAGGAAGTTTCATTTAGGTCCACTGTGCATTGTCCAATCATCACCAAAATTAAACCTATGATAAGAGACACGGTTTGAACAGCTCCATGTGTCAAAAGTAAGGGTCATAGGGCCATCTACTGATCAGCGTGAAAACAGGAAGTAGTATTTGAATCCACTGTACATTGTCCAATTGGCCTCAAATTGGTCACGCTTCATAACAGATTTATTAGTCTGTATGTAGCCCCACATACTGGCAACAGGAAGTAAGCCTTGTTTTACAACTTTAATTCAATTTACATGAAATTTTCATCTTGTGATCTGCACTTGATTGAGTGGACCATGATGCATGATTGATCGGCTTGGTTCGGCATTGGATGATGGACGCAGGAAGTGAAGCATTTATCCTTTCCACGGTGCGCAAAATGCACGCAACACACAGCCGCCCGGTCCCCAACCACCCAGGCGACTGCATCAGGTCCCGAATTCGCAAGTGCTCAGGCCCGCTCAGTGCTGCTTTGCAGCCCTAGTAATAATCATTACAATAGGGCCCAAGCACTGACAATACTCATTTCAATAGGGCCTTCACACTGTCGGTGCTCGGGCCCTAATTAGTCAGGAGAAGGATAAAGAGAGGATTTTTGGGAGGCGCACGTCAGGCTACGGCGTAGGGGTCTGCGTCGACGGCGTAGCTACGGCGTAGGTACGCCGTCGACGTGACGCAGAAGCATAAACTAGGCTGTCTGTGGCCAGCACATGCAAAACACCTTTTTGGGGGTTGTCTTGATTGTTCTTCTCCATTGCACCTGTTGTCACTTTAATTTGCAGCAAAGTAGGTGAAAATGATTCATTATCACTTGTGCTTCCTACATGCACAGATTGGTATCCCTGAAATTAAACTGACTTGCTGTTGTACTGTGACGATTGTGTTCCCTTAATATTTTTGAGCAGTGTTATTTATATGCATGTAAAATTGCCGCTTTAACAAAGTCAAAAATGAAGACTGTCCTCCACTGGGAACGCAGCTACAGCTTCCTGGGCTTTCCTGTGAATTTTGCTTTATAACAAAATAGGCCAAACTACAGATGGCCACCGCAAAGCGGTAGCGATGCGTTCAAATGCACTAAAATAGTTAGCTACTCTTCAAAAATACTGTGACTAAAGCAATGTGCTTGTCACAGTCAAATGTCTTATGTGATAAAGTGGTGGAAGAGGAAGAAATGCCTAAGGTGTCTCCTTTTTTTTGGAAACTTGTGTTGATTGCTTAATAGACCTCTGAAATAGCCACTGTATGCTGAATAGTGAACTATATGAGAAATAACACCAGTTATATAAATCAATCAAGCCACAAATGTAAGCAGCAATAAAGCAAATTCTATTTAATGAAATTCATTGACTATAAAACAGTCTAGTAATAGAAAATTTAATTTCCAACATCACTTTAGACCATAAACTATGTATGTACAACTCAATGCATACAAGGTCCAGCACACAAACAATGAGAAAGTTGGCCTGTTTGAGGAGAGCTCAATAATGCAGAGGAATAATTCTGAGTTAGGATCTGAAGCGTATCAAAGAAGCATCATTCTTAAAATTATAATAGATGTGCTATTTCAACACAGTATGGCAGCGCACATGGAGCAGCGGCACGGTGCTCCTCATTTCAGTGCTTAGTATGGAAGTGTATGTTAGTATTGTTTGTTGTGTCATCTACGTTCTGCTGGGTGAACAACATCTACAGCCGGCACGAAATTCTTAAGATCAGCATTAGTAATGAGAGAAGGTTAACAACAGAGTTCCTCAGTTTCCATGACATCCCATCAAACATAGCAAGGAGTCCCAGGTCTCCATGGATTACTATCCCCACAGCCAGGCGATGGAGACGGCGAAGGGAGACGAAGCAAAAGCGAGGCTGCAGGGCTGGCGCGCTAGCGAGGCTACGGAAGCAGCCTGCTAAACCATCGCTTCCCAGCATTTACCTCACCAATGCCAGGTCCCTAGTCAACAAAACTGATGAAATGAGACCAACAACATCCTCCAGAACAGCTGCATTCTGTTGATCACAGAATCCTGGCTCCACTCATTTATTCCGGACTCCGCTATCCAGCTAACAGGCTACATGGTACAGCGCCATGATAGGACCAGCGACTCCGGGGAAAGCAGAGGTGGGGGGGCTGTGTCTGTACGTGGACAACAACTGGTGTAAAAACACAGTTACTGTGGACAGTCACTGCTCTCCGGACTTGGAGTATGTGACTGTTAAACGCAGACCTATGCATCTTCCCAGAGAGTTTACCATGGTCCTGATCACCACTTTTTACATAGCTCCAGATGCTAATGCTAACACAGCCACAAGATTTCTACATGATTCTTCTACGCATTAGCAATCAGCTGACCAAATACCCTGACGCTGTGCATATCGTCGTGGGGGGCTTTAATCATGTGGATTTAAAACCAGTGCTCCCCAAATTCCACGTGAAGTGTGCCACAAGAGGAGCCAACACATTGGATAAAGTCTTCACGAACATCAAGCAGGGCTACAGGGCTAAACCCTTACCGCACCTGGGCCAGTCCGACCACATATCACACTTCCTAATACCAGTGTACACCCTACTCTAAACTGTATTATGATGGGACTGTTCATCATTGGCTATATGCAGAGGGAGATTAGGTGTGGTTACATAATCCTAAGCAGGACTGTGTGAAACTTGCACTCCACTGGAAGGGCCCCTACAGGGTCCTGACTGTTTTGGACTCTCAAGGAGAAACTGGACTAACCTATCACATTAGGTGTCCTTTCAACCCTGGACAGGAGCGGGTGGTTCATTATGACAGACGTAAACCTTACTATCCACCGCTGCCTGTGGGTTCTTTAAGTAGCCTCCCAGCTTCTCCTCTTCATGCTCCCTCACTGCTGGACGAGAGGTCACTCGAGAGAAAAACTGTGGGGCCACTGGTGGATGATGGCATAGGCCCAAGGAAGCCACGCAAAACGGTGTCCAGTTCTGGAAGAGCTGTGACACCGCCGGTTTGATTCGATGTTGTTTGTGTTGGTTAGTTGATTTGTTTGACTGATGTGTTGGTTAACTGTTCTTTAGGGGGTTCTGGATTGTATGCAACTCTGGGTCACACGTTTTTTTTTTTTGGGATGCATGGTTCTAGATGTGTTGGTATTTGCACGTTGGGTGTTGGGTTTATGCTGTCGCCGTTTAGAAATGGGGAAGTTTTTTTTTTGAAAAGGGGGAGGTATGTAAGCTATTTTATTTAATGGTTTATTGTTGAAAGTCAGGGTGTACTTCCTGTTGTGAGAATTGTGTCTGGGGGGGACTTTTGTTATGAAGGGGGTTCTAACAGAAGTGTGTGCTGTTGATGGAGATGAAGGAGACGAGTGAAAATATAATAAAAGACGGACTTGTTGTCCTGAGTTGATACACACTGTTCGTGTCCTTTCTCTGCTGATGAATGACACGCACGCACACATTTCCTTGTTTAACTTTCCTTAACTTATATCAGGCGTTGAACTCATTCTTTCCAGCCTCTTGTCGCTTCTGACTCACTGGTCCTCGTTAGGTAACTCATCTCGGGTTTCTCTTTACTGTCCTGTTTATCGTGGACACTATCTCAGTGTCACAGTCAACCTTGTGGTGTGTCAAACTCTCTGGTCATGGTGTCGCACTTGTGTCATCCGTCGTCCTTTTTTCTCTTCCCTCCTACCTGTCAAGTCTACCACAGCTGTTAGTAATCACTTTGATCCTCCGTACAAACATACATTGTTATAAAAACAGCAAACATAAAACAAACCATGCAACACACAAAATAAAACCAACTGCAAAACATATATACAACTACTAATACTCCAAACAGAATTTTATTTTAAAAAAACATGTAATTATTTTATCAAATGATTGAAAAACTGGCTTAAAAGAATGGACCACCTCAACACAGCATTACCACAGGCCAAGCTACCAGCCCATTCCAAACAGGCAGTTTTCAGCAGTTTTCTAGCTGTGTTAATGTCAAAAAACAGCATGTCCTACCTTCTTTAATATTAAAATAGAGCAGGCTAATGTAAAGGTGCCCATAACATTTTTGGGGCAGAGTTGTCAGGATTAGAGGAGCTGGTGGACCTAAAAATGGAGTGCAAAAGGTCATTTTAATAAAGGCAAGGCTCTTTACAGAAGTCAAACAAAATCCAAAATAACAGTAAAGTCAAAAATGCTCACAGCAAAAAAAGGGTAGACACAAGGAAACATTAGAGAACTTACTTTAGGGAATGAGGGAGGAGAAACAACAACAGGGTGTTGAGATGAGCACATAATATGACAATGAACCAACAAAGACCAAGCCAAGCACAGAGACTTAAATACACTGAACTAATGACAAATTTGAGACAGGTGGCACAGGACAAACAGGTGAAATTAACGAAGGCAGGAAGTCCAGATGGAAAACACACAAGAAGCAGAAACTACAAAATAAAACAGGAAACAGACTGAAACTCAATGAAGCACAGAGTGGGACACAGAAAGAAGCATAGAGGGACACAGATATAAACACAGAGGGACTCAGGAAGAAACAGAGTGGAACAAGGAAAACACACCAGGAGCACTACAACATAAAACTGCAAACTCAGACACAAATCAAAACATAAGGAAAACACAGGTAGACACAGATATAAACTTGGAGTCCATAATTGAAATGAAAACTCTCTTTTCATAAAAGAGGACAAAACACAAGAGTCATGACAAGAGTTCTACATCTGTAATGTTATTATTGTAAGTCGCTTTGGATAAAAGTTTCCACTAAATGATATGTAGCAATGTAGTATGTAGTAATGTTAAGGGATAGATTATTTAGTTGGAAGAGACTGGACAAACTGATTAGAAAGTCCAGCCCGATCTTGAGATGCCTTCTCAACCCAATTGACTTTTCTGCTACCAGTAGCACCAAAATTTTGTCAATGACCTGCACCAATAATTATCTTATAAATATATGTTATGGCATTTAATCTCTGCACTAATAAATTGTCTGAGTAATTTCA